ATATATTGCAGTGTCAATCAATCTGCCAGTTATTATTAAAAGTTACTAAACCCTTTACTGTGTATGTAGCATTAGTTCAGGCAAACTGGGAAACAAAAGGAGTATAAGGATCTTGCCACCAGGAGCTGAGGAGGGATTTTCTGTCTTCCTCCAGGACAACAGCAACTAAAAGAAAATCCTATCTATCGTCCTACCAAGCTGAGGAAAAACTGATTTTTCTTCCACTTACTATTCATCCATACCCTGTACTTCATTCCCAATAGCATTTTGCTTAGACAGAGAATGAGAGGCCTCTGGGATCAGATAGACCTAGATTCTAATTGTAAGTCTACTACTTCCTACTTTTGTGACATTGACCTTTGACAATGCACTCTTCTTCCTCTCACTCTGGCTTTCTCATCTACATCTGGGCAAAAAAGTCCTTAATCTAGCTTAACTCTTTGTCCTTCTACCTCTGTGCCCAGTCTCCATTTCCTAGAGGGATGGTATTATCCCTGTTCCCTGTGCTACTCATAAGGAATCTCTGGAATCACTCCCACACTGGCTTCCAGAGCTATGCTGCTGCCCTGCTGCCACTGGCTTCCAATTCCTCATCTGGACCAGGACTGGGAGGGCCAGGGTGGTGCCATGTCTGCCTTACAAGCACAAGGTCCTGAGTTCAATCCCCAGTACAGGGAAAAAAAAAAATCTGACAGTTGGATCAGGACTGGGATTATATTCCCTTTGCTCAGAAGCATTCTTGGACTGATTGTATTTCCTCTCAATTTCCTAGGATCTTACCAGCTTTAAGCTATCTTTTGCTCGGTCTGGACCTACTATGCCTAAGAAAAGGTAAGTAGGCTATACATACTGTAGGTCAGCTATAACATATTCCTCTAACAACAGTGACTTCAAATAGAACCTGTGGTCCAGTATATTTATCCTGACTTTTCTCTCTTCACAGATTGCAAAGAAATAGTGCAAGCTATGGGGAATGTAGGAGCCCATTCTTAATTATACTGTCTGCCAAGACAGTACATGACAAAGGCAGTCTAAGAGTTCCTGGCATCTGTATTTTAGAAGATTATTTCCAACGTGCACTCCATGAGATGTTAATGAGTTACATGGAACAAAAGGTACTTCTGTGACTAATAATTCTAAACTTTTTAAGGCCAACTCTTTTATGATAGAATATACTTTGGAAAAATATTCCTGAGTTATACTCCAGGCTTGTCACGAATGGATCTTCAGGGAAGAGGAGAAGATCAACGGCTTTTCTACTTCTAGGTATTTACTGAGCAGACACAATCCTACTTGAGGGAAGCAACATAGAATCAAGGTGCTTAGCTAGTTGGAAACAACCTAAAATACTATCAACAGGAGTCTGATTACACTATCATATATACATATAGAATATTATGCAGCTATATAAAGACTTAGGAAGGCTGGGGATTTAGCTCAGTGGTTCCGCCATCTGCCTCTCAAGCACAAGGTTCCGAGTTTGATCCCTGGTACAAAAAAAAAAGACCTAGGAAGGCCTTTACTGAAAGTGAATGATCTCCAAGATACATTGCTAAGTGGGCCGAGGATTTAGCTCAGTGGTTCCACCACCTGACCCGCAAGTGCAAGGACCTGAGTTTGATCCCTGGTACCAAAAAAAAAAGATACATTGCTAAGAGAAAAAAGCAAGGTATCAATCTGTATTTACAGTATTTTTACAGGTAGGTAAAAACGTGGAACATTATTAACTATTCCAAAACTAAATAAACAACAATTAAAAAAAGAGAGACAGGGCCAGGGATTTAGCTCAGTGGTGCCGCCACCTGCCTCACAAGCGCACGGTCCTGAGTTCGATCCCCGGTACCAAAAAAAAAAGAGAGAGAGACAGACTAGAGGTGACACCACCATGGAGGGAAGTGGCAGTACCATGAGTCATAACTACCAGACATAAGCCTCAGCAAAACAGATACATTCCTGCACATGACTCACTTCTTGCCCACCAGCCTTTTCTTGATCAGTACCACAGAGCCTGCTAAAAGACCCCCCCGCAGCAAATTCCTAGAACCCAACTCTTACTACTCACCAGCAGACTACTTTACCTTACAGAGGCTTTTAAAAATGAAATATCTTCCTTTTTACCTTTATCCCCTGTAAATTTCTGACTTCTTGTTTACATTTCAACAGTTCTTTCTGCAAACCAAATATAGTTAGATCAGATGGTGGCATCTGGTTTGCTTCAGAAGCATTACCTCATTCTGTCAGCATGAAGACAAAACCCAGTTGACCATTCCATGAAAGACTAACCCTCCACTAAGGCAGAAAGTAGATGTGGTCTAGTAAGGAGGAAAGCATGACCCACAGAAACAAGAACAAGCCCTGTTCTGTTCTTCTCCAAGGCACTTTGTTCAGTTGTCCAGGTAGAGAAGAGCCAAGGAAGAAGATGCACCACACAGTCCTACAGGCTCTCTATAGTTAGCAATTTTCACCAACAGGAAAACCTAATCATGATTGTCTAAAGCCTTCTCACTGAAATATATATCTACACATGCCTAGCCCAATGGCAGCAAATCATTATCTCAGTTTTAATGTTCAGCAAAGGGTTGAAAGGCTTCAGATTCTCCAAGGGACTAATTGTTCTTTGTAGATCAAACAAAACCACATTTGGTCTAATAGTGAAATACTGAGTAATCTTCCTTCACAACAGATTAACTATATCTATGATTGTCACTAGAAAGATTTTAACCCAGATTCTGCTCTCTTCATAGTGCATCACATAAATAATCTGTAATTAATATAAAGAAAACGAGATTTTTATGTGTAGGACTGGGAATTAAACCTAGAACCCAATGCATGTTAGACAACTGCAACATCCTGTTATTTTTATTTTATGTAATTTATTTATTTACTGGTTTGGGGTTTTTTTATTTTTTGGACACAGGGTCTTGTGATGGCCATGAACTCACTATGTAGCTAAGGCTGGCTCAAACTCACTTTTTATTTTATTTTGACACAAGGTCTCACTAAGTTGCACAGGCTGTTCTTAAACTTTTGATCCTCCTGCCTCAGCCTCCAAAGTAGCTGAGATTATGGTGTGCACCATCACTCCTATCTTTGAAAACAAGATTCTTTATCTGGACTCCAGAGATGGGCTCAAAAATTACTCTACTAGGGCTGAGGTTATAGCTCAGTGGTAGAGTGCTTGCCTGCATACGCAAGGCTCAAGATTTAATTCCCATGGGGCCGGGGATTTAGCTCAGTGGTTTCGCCGCCTGCCTTGCAAGCGCAAGGTCCTGAGTTCGATCTCCGGTACCAAAAAAAAAAAAAAAAAACAAAAAACAAAAAATTCCAACTTGCCCTTCATACTGCTTAATCTGCAGATATGCAAATATTTCATTTTGAGTGCTCAGTCATTCAATTAATG